TTAAAAATTATTTGCCGCACTGTATATATACAAAATGTGGGGGTGGTAGCAAATAGAAACGGAGTACATTCTAAAAAATAGGTAGGATATTTCAAGACATCGGCTCCAACCAATTGGGAGATATGTGACATATACTAAAAGTGTCATTATTATACAGTTTTAAAATATACGATATATATGTATGAAAAAATAGTACAAATGTGATAATGTACTGGTATAAGGTAAATAAATTGAGGGAAAAAAAAGGCATCTCCTTATCGTGCAACTGAAAGTTGTGATGGCTTGCACCATCTATCGGAATAAATATAAACTATTCGTTGATTTTTAATTATTCCAGAATTGGCCAAATACCCGTTGCCCTGGTTATTCGGCTATTATATATTAATATATATCATAATTTGTATAGTTAATGCAAACGAGATATAATTTATTTTCGTCAAAATAAATATGTAAATATGTTACACTTGAGTTAAAATGTAAATATGTAAATTCATCCCATGTATAAAGGCTGTACAAAAAATAAAGGTGGCAGACATCGCGGGCGCGCTGTTCGCTTGGCTGGAGCTAATTCTTGGCTGCGTCCTTTCACTTGACCACGACAGCTACAAGACACACATATATATATATATTCTAATATACAGTTACGAGCGTCATGGCCTCAGTCACGGTTTGCCGGCGCCCTCCTATTGGTCGGCTACGATCACGCCACCTTGCCCCCCCCCCCCCCCCCTAATCATTTGGTGCCGCAATGCGCGAGACACCTTCTGTCACCGTTTGCTTTTGGTTCAGTGATAGAATGCTCGCCTGCCACGCGGGCGCCCCGGGTTCGATTCCCGGCCGATGCATTTATTTTTTTACAATTTTAAAACTCATTTATATATTATACAAGAATGACATCCACGGCGCCAATATATAATTGTAACGAATAGTATTTTAATAAAAGCAATTTAATCGGGTAAACCCCGGGCGTTGCCCGGGTCATTCGGCTAGTATATATATACAAGGTATGTCCCATAAGTTCCCGGACTGGGTCCATAAAAAAATAAATAAATGAAAAAATGTAAATGAATTTGACTGTTTATTATAGAAAAAATATCTGGCTACACGGTGGTACCAATATCGAGGCGGTACTTGCGCGCGCGCCAAGGTTATTCTAATTTATTTAAAGGTCACACCTAGCGCTGCGGCGATTTTACGATGGAACAAAAATTGAAGCAGAGGATTTGCATAGAATTTTGTGTGAAACTTCAAATATAGCAACCGAAACTTTTGAAATGCTTAATAAAGCATTCCCCAATGACGCCCCAAAGAGAACAACTGTTTTTGAATGGCATTCTAGATTTAAAGCTGGCAGAATTTCCATTGAAGATGATCCTCGTCAAGGACGCCCAAAATTTCAAAGGACTGATGAAAATGTGCAAAAATTCACCGATTTGATAAAGGAAAATCCTCGAACCACTTTGCTGGAGCTAGAGCAAGACACAGGCATCTCTAAAACACCGATTGGAAGGATCGTAACCGAAGATTTGAAGCTCAAAAAGACTCCTGCAAAATTCATCCCAAGATTCCTCACCAATGAGCAAAAACTGTGTCGGCTTGCAACCTATGAGGACATGATGGAAATGACAAGAACCGGATCCAGAATGGAAAGACAAGATAATCACAGGCGACGAGACATGGGTCTATGGCTATGACCCTGAAACCAAACCTCAATCTGCCGAGTGGAGAGGTTAGGGTGAGCCTAGACCCAAAAAATCCAGAAACAAGGTGTTGCTGGTCGCTTTTTTCGGATAACAAGGGCATTGTTCATCACGAGTATCTTCCTGCAGGCCAAACAATTATTAAGGAAATGTATTTGGGCATACTTCGCCGTCTAAGGGAAGCGATTCGAAAAAAAAGGCCAGAAAAATGGACTAATGGTGGCTGGATCCTACACCATGACAATGCTCGCCCTCACACAGCGCACTTGATGACTAGCTTTTTGGCGAAAAACGGGACACAAATCCTACTTCATCCACCCTATTTCCCAGACATCGCACCAAATGACTTTTTCCTGTTCCCCAAACTTAAAGCAGTTCTAAAAGGAAGACATTTTGACACCAGGGATGACATAATAGAAAAATCGCCGTTAGCATTGAAGAGCATTCCAAAAGAGGCTTATAAAAACTGTTTCGACAATTGGGAAGAAACGATGGCGCTGGTGCGTTTAAGCAAGGGGGGATTACTTTGAAAAGTTTTTAATTAAAAAAAAATTAAAAAATCTTACCTTTTTTTTTTATGGACCCAGTCCGGAACTTATTGGACATACCTGTGATATAATAATATATAATATATATATTCGAGCGCGCACCTTTACGGTAGCATGCGACCAGTTTCAGGATAGACTAATTTATTTTAAATTTTCCGTTTGAAATAGAGCAATTCATTTAAATCTTTAGATATATATTACTATATAAAAAAATTAAATAAAAACAAAAAGGATATCCTGACCATTCACATGAGTTCGAGGCAGAGCGCCATCTAGTGGATAAACATAAATTTAGATAATCAGAAATGAATATATTATTCAAAATATTAAACGTGGATGTCATAACAGTATGTATTTAAACTATTATGTAAATAATATATTAATATCTGAACTCAAGTTATATTTAATAATCCAAAGTTTTACACTGCATATGTATTACACTGTTGTAGTATCTGTACGACACTGTGTAATATACCAAGTTATTACACTGCATATATATGTATACATGTTAGAATCCTGTCGACTAACCGTTCTGTGACAATATCGTTGCTTCTTGTAGTTTGATTTGAATGTGAGATTGTTGAAACGCATCGTTTGAGTGAAGTTGAAGCTACAAGGATAACAGACACGTGTGGGGTATGATATTGGGGAAACGGAGGGGTTTTTTGATTGTAAATTTGATCACATGGCGGTGATCTTAGCGTGACCGGGGAAGGGTCTAGAGTAATGTCACTTGAAGCAATCACTACTGATCTGAACTCGGGGAGCAAGTCGCTACGGACAATTTTGTCTTTCGATTTACTCCACGATTGTCTTCCTTGCCATTCGAAGGACCCGTATTTCTATGGTTGACTTTAGATTCCTTCCTAATTGACCGGCGGCTTTCTTTGTGAGATATGCCCGGCCTGATAGAAGTATCGGGAGTTATTCGACTCTAATTACTTCCCGTATCAAAATACGTCGGTCCTGGAATATTGGGCGTCTCATATATAACGTCAGCATACCAGATACTCCGGGCTTTGTCGAGGATGTTATGACTGTACAAGTTATTTATACTGTGCCGCTTTTAGCCTGCTCCAATGTCTTGTTGCCACTTTCTTTCCCCAGTTACCTCATTCTTATATAAATCTTTGAAAATCATACATAGTCACTAGTGGGTGGGGGCATACAATTATATACAATAGACTTTATATATGAATTCCTTAATTATGCAATTATTAATGCAAATTATTATAAATTGGCTTAATAATTTCAATTTTATGTGAAAATATAAAAATATTGCTGAGTATAAGTTCAATTATATAATTTTTTTATAACTTCATATATAAAATATAAAACATTGTTATATATATAGAATATGTCGAAATATATAATAAATATCTGTTTGAAATAATGTATTTATAATATCCTTTTGGGATGTAAAGTTTGTTAATGGATAAATATTCCTTTCTGCTCGTTCTTTTAATATTAAATGTAGATAATCACATTTTAAAATACAATTTATATAGTGTATTATTGTATTTTAAAAGCATTCTTAATTTTTATAAAAACTTAAATATTTCTCTATATTTTCTTTTATTTTAAATCTTAATTGAATATTTATAAATTAATTATATATTTTATATAAATTAATTATATATATATAATTTAATTAGTATATACCTTTTTATTATATTATAAAATTAAATTATAAAATATTATATTTAATAAGAAGACTCATTCAATATTTATATTAGAAAGCGTTACCTCTTTAATTATATTTGCATATACAATCCCCAGCAGATTCTTAAATCTGTTTAACTAGATAAGGAATCTTTTATTCAATATTGTAATTATATTTCTCTCACAGCACTTAAATATGGGCCTAGAATATTGTTTCAAGTAAATCTTAATAATTTATCTCTGATTTCCAAACAGAATAAAAATATATAATTGTATTTTATAATATTTGCTTACGTTTTAAACAGCTATGAATCCTCGCCAATAATAACTCGTATTCTCTACATATTTAAAATAAGTTGTTTTACTTTGAAAAAGGTGTAGTTCAGCCAACTGTAATATTTGTGAATAAATTATTTTATGATCAAAATATATATGCCTTTTAATTAAACATATTTTAATATTAGAGCATCAGCCCACATTGCACGGGGAATTTCAAAAATAATTAAAACCCAAAATGTGTGTTGTCGATGTAGTCAAAGTTTTAAAATTTCTTACTCCTCTAAAATTTACCATTATAGAAAGAGATTAAGCGTCTGATCTCTAAAATACAAAAGAAAACACAAAAGGCCTAATATCTAATAATTCCTTAAATAAATCCTATAATAATTTTATGAATATATAAAATTTTTAATGACAATAATTTTAATAACGAACCCAGGATCATAAATCTAAAATAGAATTTCACTGCTCAATTTAATTTCGGAGCGAAAGAAACACTGCACGCTGATTGGATAATGAATTCAGCACTAACGAATTGATTAAGGTTACGTGACAGTGAACAGCCATTCAGCGCACAAATAAAAAGTACAAACATATATCTCTATAAAGCTATACAACCAGTTTAACCGCATAAGTTCCTTTTTATTTATGAAAAATCATTTTTAATTTCAAAGAGAAATAATTTAATATTTCTAACTTTTGGATGACGTATGAAAAGGTTGAATATATGAAGAGTGATGGTCTATATATGAATGGATGACGTATGGAGGGTGAAAAATATGAAGAGTAATGGCGAACGGAAAAATAAAAGTGTCCAGGAGCGGGAATCGAACCCACAACCTTCCGCCTACCGGGCAGGCGCCATGTCCACTAGGCCAACCTGGACGATATTTCTCCGTTCGTAACTAATATTTAAACTGACTAATAATACTTATAAATGACTGCGGCGTATCCAGTCATTTATAAGTATTATTAGTCAGTTTAAATATTAGTTACGAATGGAGAAATATCGTCCAGGATGGCCTAGTGGACATGGCGCCTGCCCGGTAGGCGGAAGGTTGTGGGTTCGATTCCCGCTCCTGGACACTTTTATTTTTCCGTTCGCCATTACTCTCATATTTTTCACCCTCCATACGTCATCCATTCATATATAGACCATCACTCTTCATATATTCAACCTTTTCATACGTCATCCAAAAGTTAGAAATATTAAATTATTTCTCTTTGAAATTAAAAATGATTTTTCATAAATAAAAAGAAACTTATGCGGTTATAAACTGGTTGTATAGCTTTATAATTATACGCCGCAGTCATTTATAAATATATCTCTATATATATAAAAGTCACAATGTCTGTCTGTTTCGCGATAAACTCAAAAACTACTGAACCAATTGGTACCAAATTTTGCATGTCGCTTTTTATAAACCTGAGGAAAATTTTCGGCTACATTTTGATTAGTATTTTTGGCTATTTCTTTTTTTCATTTGAAGAACATTTTTTTACGCGGAGTAAATACGAGGCGAAGTAACAACACGAGGCCAATTAAGCGACCAATGAGCGTTCTGCATTTCTTTTCAAGTTGCTTGCGTACTTTTTTCAAATATCTTTTTATACGAGTGTCACTTTTTTTTACAAAATTTTGCATGTCGATTTTTATAAACCTGAGAAAAATGTTCGGCTACATTTTGATTAGTATTTTGGCTATTTCTTTTTTTTTTTTCATTTGAAGAACTATTTTTTTTACGCGGAGTAAATACGAGGCGAAGTAACAACACGAGGCCAATTAAGCGACCAATGAGCGTTCTGCATTTCCTTTCAAGTTGCTTGCGTACTTTTTTTAAATATCTTTTTATACGAGTGTCACTTTTTTTTACAAAAGTATTGAGAGAGAAATTCATATTACTAAGTTACGGTAAGTGCACACAATGCAATTTAAAAAAAACTATACAAAATTAGCGTTACTATATGTAAACAACTATATATAAGAGTTAACACGCTGGGGCGGGTACCTCGGAGGTTGGTAGGAAAATCTGCCAACTATTTGAACTATATTTGAAACACCTAAATGGGTTGAAAAATAAATAAATAAAATACCTAAATACTAATATATTTCATTTTTTGACATCACACATACTTTTTGCCTGTGATAATGTATTACTTCGGTGTTGCTATTCTATGGCTCTAATACTATTTATTAGTAATGTTCTTTCAGTATGAAGGAAATTGCACTCGGGGGAATTCCCGGGCGAAGCCGGGTCATTCGTCTAGTATATATATATATTTTGAAGAATGAGCAATCCATAATTAAATTATATTTTAAAAAGATGCATACATTGGATTTATAAATTTTTTATTGTTCCAATATTGTGTGGACAAAATAATAAAAATAATAGTATTGATCTGTAATATTATATATAATTGTTAGCTGTATATATACTGAATGTAATATTTAAATCGAAGATACAATTCTTCCATTGGCCTTGTAGAACGAGATTGGTGTACGCGTGCTCGCATGCATCTTTTTTGAATATATATATATGTGTGAATACATATATAGGTGAAAAAAATAAATAATAGAATAATAATATATTTTATGAAAAAGGCGAATAAAAACTGGTCCTTCAGGCATCTTGAAAAATTATGAAACGGGTAGTTAAGGCCGGAATTGCGTGAGACCGCGTCACAATGTGAAAAAATAGTAAAAATGTGATATTGTACTGGGATAAGGTGCATAAATTATGAAAAGGCATCTTCCGATAGATATATTAGATATATATGCATATTTATTCCGATAGATGGCGCAATCCATCAGCAACTTTCAGTTGCACGATAAGAAGATGCCTTTTTCATAATTTATGCACCTTATCCCAGTACAATATCACATTTGTGCTATTTTTCCACATTGTGACGCGGTCTCAAGCAAATTCCGGCCTTAACTACCCGTTTCATGATTTTTCAAGATGCCTGAAGGACCAGTTTTTTTTTTTTTTTGTCGTTGAGGTACAGCTTGCACCACACTGATGAGGACTAACAGCCCGATACGCGTACGTGTTTAGCTTTTCTTGATTAATCAATAATGGGTAATTGGCCTATTTGGAATAATTAGAAATCAACTGATAATAGTTGATATTTATTCCGATAGATGGCGCAAGCCATCAGCAACTTTAGTTGCACGATAAGAAGATGCCTTTTTCATAATTTATGCACCTTATCGCAGTACAATATCACATTTGTACTATCTTTTCACAATAATATATATGTTTAATTTAATTTCAATATTTTTAATTAAATAATATATATATAAATAAATATTAGAAACAAAACCAGGCTCACATGAGCATTTATAGATGGAAGAGCGCCATCTTGCGGAAGAAAAAAAAAAAAAAACTAAACCTTTATTTAACTTGATTCGTTATATTAGGTCAACCAAATTTCTTGATAAATCAAGAAAAATCAACCAAGAACGCATTTTGGGCTGTAGGCCCTCTTCCGCGTGGTGCAAACTGTACCTCTACGACTAATATTTGGTCCCAGAGGCTTCCTGAGAAATCAAGAAATGGGTATTTAAGACCAAATTTACGTAAATACGCTTTTCATGTGAGAAAAAAAAAACAATAAAAAATTTAATGCCCTTTCGAATTGCTCATGTGAGCCTGGACAGGATATGCCTTTTTTGTATATAAATAGCCCATGCTTTCTTTTCAGATGAATCTTTCATTTAAAGACTTCGAAGCAAACTATATGAACATCAACTTACCCATAATCGCGAGACATTTATATTTTGAAGTAGAGAGAGAGATAATAACTCGCTAAGGGACTAGGAAACCCCGAAGAATGTATAGAGAGTGAGGGGGATAATCAATAGCTTGTGACCCGCAGCCGAGAGACTACTCAATATTTCATCACTTCGAGAGAGAGAGTTAGGATAAAAAATAACCAAATATTTATTTATAGATGGATTGAATGGGGTATTGATCCAATGGTTTGTACATCAGGGATATTTATTGAACGCCCGGAGTAATCTAACAATGATGAGAGAGACCCTTGCTTTCCTCTCTTCACGGATGTTCTCAAAAAATCTTTAAAAATAAGTTTAAATCCGATTGGTTATTTTTTGGAATTATGGTTTTAGCTGTTGAAAAACATCGATTTAAATCGCAGTAGACTTACTGAAATCTATTGAAAATATCAACTATCTTTTAGCTCTTTTTCAGAGATGGTCTACACCCCTTTCTTTAAATACAAAGAAAAAAAAATCAACTACTCACCCATTTCGAGCTGTTGGCCCTGATCCGTGTATTGCAGGCTGTTCATTGAAGCGGACCAAGGAGAGAACCTTATCCCATATGTTTAGTTCACGAAAAGTATTTGAGGATACAAGTGTTTAAACAAGCCATAGTATGTTTTAAAAGAGCTTAAAAATAGGAAAAGGATCTCTCTCAAATTGATTTAATATTCGTATAATGAAAGGGCATAGAATGTATTAGCCCACGAAATGATACCTTCTTCTAGTAATATGTAACTGCACCCTGACTTATCGGATGACTCTGATGAATACATAGACGGTCTGACGCTCTCTCCTTGCCCAAAGTAGCTCAATAGTCAAGGTTCGTTAATGCCATGGTCAATTTAAGGCTAAAGTCTGAGGCTATTGGAAACGTGATGCATTATGCAAATCACGGCAGGATCTTTAATGAACTCCTCTTGGAACTAAGGATTCCCTCCATTGGAATTAGCGGTGCAGCCAATTATCTGGCTAAGTGCGGCAGCTCGGCCTGCATGGATGAGTAGCCCAACTTGATATGAAATGACTCAATCTATTAATCCACTTAGTCTGCAGCACATACTGATGGTTTGGTTATCAGGTGAATGGTTCAACTTGGAAATATGTATTTTAGTCAGCTAATACACTGTATACACATATATATGATAGATAATAAGGGGTATATTGGCTTTAATCGAACGTTTTATCACAAACTAAACTCAATAATTCAAAGAACTGAACATTTCCTTTACAAGCATTTCACGAGTCACACGCGTGCCTCTGCATTGTGGCTGAAGTGGACACTTGGTGGGATCTTTTATAGCCGGAATTTAGGATTATATTCTTGGGGGATTCCAACTTTCCTATTTATTCTCTTCCTGTCATCTGTGGAGGTCAACTTTCCAGAAATACTCTATCCGTATTAAGGATGTTATGGTATATAACTCGTGAAATTCTTGAAAAGGGGATACGTTCAGTTCCTTGAGATTTTAATATGAACACCTGATATTTTTTATATTTAAAAAAAAATCATAAATATATGAGGATTTAGTAATATAATATTCCAATAACGTTGTAAAATAACTTGGCATTCCAATATTAATAAATATTTAAAGAAAATATCTTATTTAAAATTTAATAAATGTTTTCAAAAAAATGATGGGTTTCAAAAATATATTTAAACGCATATAGCAATATTTATATACGTTTATAAATCTATATATAGGTAGATTGGATGTTTTCTAGAATCGTTTTAACAAATGTTCGTTAGGAAAACTTTTACTCGGGTAAAAACCGGGCAAAGCGGGGTACATTCGCTAAATACAGTTATTTACAAATGTTCGTTTGTGGCAAGATACTATTCCTTCAACTTCAAATTACCGCGTGAACCAATTAATATTGATTTTATTCAAGGGACCGGGAAAACATTTCAAATTATCGAGAGTATAGACAAGTATAGATTCAGTAGGGATTGGATGTTTTCTAGAATCGTTTTAACAAATGTTCGTTAGGCAAACTTTTACTCGGGTAAAAACCGGGCGAAGCCGGGAACATTCGCTAGTGTATATATTTAAACTCGCGCTAAATGACACCGAGTTTCTGCTCCAAATATAAATTCGTGT